GAGACATCGAATGTCTTGCAGTTTTGTTTTTTAACACGAAGGCTTCAATTTTTTTTTCACTTAAGCAGAGCTATAGGGTTGTTTATTATTACTATTATTATTATTATTATTATTATTATTATTTTGTAGTATCCAACACAATGCCACGTGAACAATGACAGCATAATATTTGGAGCCACACTGCCAAGGAACCGTAGTAAAATAGACAAATATATATAAACTATAAAAGATGCTAGAGATGGTGAGGAATTATGAGATCTGATAAAAAAAATTCGTTAACATAATTATAACAATACTACAGAATTGATTATAGATTAAATTAGTACAATTTTGTTAGATTCTAATACCATTCCGATATTGTTAAATTACAATTACAATAGTCTTAGTTGGATTCTCCCTTTTATATATACCTCATTCACTTTTATCAATTCACAATTTAGAATACAAGATTTCATTTCTCGTAATATGATACAAGAGTGATTTTATTTAGTTTCTATCTTTTTTGAAACCTCATCCTTGCGTTGTTTGAGCTATCCTTAGTTCTTACGGAAAATTGTCTCAACCAATGTTTATCTAGCTTCACCGCCTCTAGACTATGATTACCATCACGGAAAAAGCTTCAGTTTGAGGAAAGAGTTAACATAATTATAACAATTAAACGAATTATAGATTAAATTAGTGAGATTAGTTAGATTATGATATGATTACAATATTCTTAAATTACAATTACAAACCTATCAATTTGAATTCTTTCATAGATTATTGAGAATCTCTTATATATATATATATATATATATATATACATTTTATTAATTTTTGTATAATTTATGATTCAGAATATAAAATTTCTCTTCTCATAACAAATTACAAGATTAAGTAAGTGATTTAAGGTGACGGAGTAAATAGCATCAGTATCAAATAAATTAAGTGAAAGAAAATAGTGAAATTTACAGTAAAAGTATTTTAAAATTTATGTTAAAAGAGATAAAACGAAATGAATGGGGTAAACATCATGATTTGTCTTCAAGTCAAATACGTAATTAACTAGTCTAAATTGGCTTCATTTCACCGACTTGTTGCTTCGCACAAATTTATTCTTTCTAATAAACCAATTTCAATTAAACTAGTTCAGTTGTTTGACTTTTAAAAGTTGGCTGTATAAAAGGAGTCGGGCAAACTCCAAAGGTGGCTAAAAGAGTAAATAAATACAGATACCAGATGATGAATGCAACATGAGAGCTATAGGATCCGGTTCCTCTCGGGGCTCCTTCCTCGAATGTGAATGCCCGTACTTAAAGCCTCGCCTTACTTCACGTTTCAACCATTTCAGCTGTCCCATATCTTAATTTGGATTCAGCTCAAGTATAATAAATACAATAGTCCTAATAATGTAACAAGAATTATTATACCCACTAACGTAATAAACTATATCAATTATTGATTGATTAGCTGAACAAATCCTTCATTTTTTACATTTGTATCTAGCTAAACTATTGCCAAACAAACAAAAAAAGGATACGCTTAAATGGTGACGGATAAAAATGCTTAAATTAGACCAACAATCAAGATCAATGTCAAAATATGATTGGACCACCTCCCCAGTTTCAAGGGGAAAAAACACACCAAGTACCGTAATAAGCATTTCCTCGATTTGATGACCTTGGAACGGAAATCAAATAATATTTGGCAAATATAATAATGGACTAAACTTGATGATTTGATTGACTGTTATTAATTGACTATATAACTATCGTTTTTTAAGCACCTTATATCTTGTAGTTTGAATTCACGAAAGGGTAATGACAGGAGGAAAACAGCTCACCGATCAAAAAAAGCTGCGGGGCCTTATGTGGGGGGAGAGTAGCCAATGCGAACACTACACGATCCAAATGTTGAGGCTGCAAAATCTACTGTCGTGGACCACCAAATCATGATTTTAGTTTTGATTAGACTTGTTAATTACGTTTTGTGCATAAACTACATAGTCATTGTTGTCCACGGACCTTACAGAAATGATGGTAATTTTGATATATGTATATATGCGTAAAGAGTTGGATGTTGCACTTAGAATTACACATTGTATGATTGTGTTTCAAATAGCTCAAAATCTTTGAGCAATCTAAGGAAAAACAAAACCTTAATTAAGGTGGATGGGAAGGAAGAGAAAAGGGTGATTCCCTCAATGTTGGGTGGCCACAAGTGTCGAAATCCACTAGTGCAGTGCAGTGCTGCTATACTTTTGAATAAACTCAAAAGGAAGGGAATCTCACCCGAAATGTGAATGCCACCAAACCCCGAATGATTTCCACTTCGGGCATCAAATCTGTAACCCCACTGTGGCAGAAACCTTTCCTGCCTCATCACAGTCACTCCTATTTCCTGCCTCCATCTCCATGTGATTCTACTCCTACCAAAATGTTTATCATGCAGCCTTACCTTTAACCCTCCGGTCCATATCTTCCAAATGCTAGTGATTTTTCTTTTCTATCTATGGAAATAACTGACTCTAATTAATCCTACCGTACACTGGCTTAAAGGGTGGCCATATATTCGTATAGGCAGGTGAGACCCAAATCCCTATACTATACGTCCTAGTCGTGACAAAGACATATGGCCCTGATTGGTTGCCAAATATTCAAACCCTTTTTTGATCTTATTTAGGGGTTTAAATGATCTTAGCCATCCAGTTCAATGAGGATTTTTTTAATGGTGTTCAAGCTTCATTTCATTATAGTTTGGCTGAATTCCAGATTGAATTGGGTTCAATTCATTTAACTTAAACAAGTTTGATCGTAAACAATTAATGAATTGTTTTTAAATAATCAAAGAAATCAATAATCAAATTAATTTTTAAAAAATAAAATAATAATAAAAAGAAAAGTTTATTAAAAATATACTTATATTATTATTTTATACTAATCAAACAATAGACAAACTTGTTTTAAGCAAGCCCTTAAGAAATTTATAAACGATTTTCAAAATGAATAATAAACATATATATTCAAGCTTTTATTTTTTTTATTTTATTAAATGAACTTAATTTGAGCTTATTCGCGAGCTTTTCGATGAACATTCTGATTTATTTGCCCTAAAAACATGCCCAAGTGATTGAAATGTTGAGGATGGAAAATATTTCTTAATTCGGCTTTTAAGCACATTTTGCCTTTTTTTTTTTTAATTTCTTAATTTGGCTTAAAGTGAATGCTATTGAACTCACTTTGACTTTAAAACCACAGTGGAAGCTTTTATAGGCAAGTGCCAAGTTGCATAGGAATTTTAATACTATTTTGTAGATAAATCCTGAAAATTAAAGAAAGCAGAATAAAAAAAAAAGAGAGGAGTGAGATATTTGTGTGATTGAAAATAAAAGAAGATTAAAAGTGTTGGGGTATCGGATAGGGGGAAAGCATTCGTAGGTTATAGTAACAGGGGAAGCATTTGCTTTGATTTGCTTTATGATTCCGCCCTTTACCCTGACATGGACTATTCCTTATGGGTCGATGTTGTAAATATTCTTGCATAAAAAGCACTGAGAAATAAGACGAGAGTATCTTGGGCATGTTGTCCAACTTGGAATTATAATATTAATAGGTTGTAAGCCTTCACTGGACTTGTCATTCTCAAAGCCCATCATTCATTTCTTATCAACACACCAACCCAATTCTCATACAGCTTCTCTTCAAACAACAAGTCCAAAGCCTTCAAACCTTTTTAACTCTAATTTAACTATGCAACAATCAAAGTTAACTAATTTACCACAACAAATGTATTATACATATATAAATACATAAAAAAGGAGGAGTTAGTTACATTGGTTAGATGGTGCAATTAATATGAGCTTTTTTTGGGGGTTATTTTAACCTTACATTTATAATTAGCAATTTTGAGTATCTTAAGCATAGTATCTATTGCGTTCAATCAAATCTTTAAATTTTTATTTAAAAATAAATAATTTTTTATAATTAATTATTGATTAACTGTTATTAATCAAAATGTTAATTACCATTTTTATGCCATATGGCTTTGATGTGGAAAATGAAAAATATTATGTGGTTATGATATTATGTCACATTAGCATACTACATCATCATTCATTATGACATATCATCATATTATGTGGTATAGAATGACAAGTGACATTTTCACTAATAATGATTAATAAACTATTAATTATAAAAGTTTATTTGATTTAAAATAAAAATATAAGAATTTTATTTTATGCAATAAAAGAATAACACATAATACACAAATAAGCTTTTGAATTATATAAAAAATTCAATCAAGTTCTTATAGTTTTATTACATTTAATTAAGCCTCATATTTTTTATTTTAAATCAAATAAATCTTTTATCACTAATTACCTTTAGCCAAAGTTATAATTGCTTGTCTAATACTATGTCATTTACAACGTGATATGTAATTTTGGATGATAACATTGCCACATGATCGATGATCTGACAAAAATGCTAATGCTCGAATTTTAAATTGTTGACTTGGATTTTTAAATTTATTTAAAGATTTAAACCAAAAAAATTAAAATTCAAATCAATAATTAAAAATCCAATCAATAATATTTTTGATCACGTCATTAGTCATGAATAGTATTTTCATTTAAAATAACATATCAACGTATTATGTAAGTGTAATAGATGACGTAATATTAAATTGATAATTATAATTTTAATTAATAACAGTTAGTTAACAATTAATGATAATAATTTATTTAATTTAAAATAAAAATATAAAAATTTAATTAAATATATAAAAATATAATAATTTAATTAACTTTTTTTAATAATTTAAGAGTTTATTTAGTTATTGAGTCAAAAAATAAAGATTTATGTAAATTTAATTAAATAATTTAGAGATTTTTATATACTAGATCAATACTTTAATTAAATGGTAAGTAAATGCATTACTCAAATTGCTGAATAACTCATGTTTATGGTAAAAACCTCGCGCGACTAAATCTCAGCTTTATTGGCAAAGACATCCTATTGAAACACTTTTTGGTAATAATTTTCCATATCTATCACCTGCCCTGCCCTCTCACTTTCTGCCCATCCCTTGTTTTTTTTTCTTCCTTTTCCATTTCTATTTCCCATCCACCAGAGATTGATTCGATGCTGCAATAAAAAAAAAATTCCCAGTGAAATTTTTGTAAGAGGCCTATCAAGTCTTTCCATATTCCACTCTTCCTCCATTCTTTCTCTGTTCAGGTATTTTATTTAATGAATTTGTTGCATTTCTTTACATATCATTCTTTAAAGCATTTTGTATTAATTTTCCTTCTGGGTCTCTGAGAGTTTTAAATTTAGGTTGGAGATTTTTTGCTTCTTGTTGGGTTGTCTTTTGGGATTCTTTGGGATGTTTGATTTGGATTTTTTTTTTCTCCTTTTTGGGTTTATGTAAATTAAGCTATGAAAGTAAAAAGTTTTATGAAGTTCTATCTTCTAAGAAGGGTACTGTTAACACTTCTAGCTATGAAATAGTGCATGTGGTTGATTCGTGAACTGGGTTAAAGATGATGGAAGTAAAGGGGAAATAGGAAAAAGAAAAAGAATCCAATATCGAAAATGAATGTTTGCAGGAACTAAAATTAGGAATATAAAAGGAAGGAACTATATTTTATGGAGTTAATATAACCTTGAATGAGTTATGAGTTTCGCTGTTGGCTCTTGATTGTGGTTAATTCTCATGTAGGAGGTTCTTTTGGTTGAAATGTTTTGGTTCAGTTGTGGCAGCATAGCAAAAGAATTTTTGTTTTGGGAGCTAGTTTAATTTTTGCGCAATGAAAGAGAGGGTTGCTTTGGTTATTACTTTATCAACCAAGACTAGGGCTTGAGTTTGCTGGAAAGATTGGGGATAGAAGCTATAGTGTGAGCCTGTGAAGTCTTTGATTAAGTGCATGTGAATTGGTTTATTAAGGTATGAGGTGTGATGTATAACCTAAAAGGTCTCCTTGCTTTTAGATTTTAAATATTTCCACAACCATAAATATATATATATATTTATATATATATATATATGGATTGGTACTTTAGCTGCAGGGGAAGCAGAAATGGAGAAATCGGTTACCCTTGACAGAGTGCATCTTTTGTTATACTTGTTGAATGATCACCAAGGGAGGAAGCTAAGAATTAATTTGTACGAGGATATGGAAGTCTATTTCTGGAATGTGGTTAACATATGTGTATCATTTGAGGAAGGGGAATGATCCATTAACATCACGTTTGGTCCCTAGCAATGCACTTGTCTGCAGGATGAATGCATTCAGCATAAGTATGATAGATAATATGATTGTTAATGTTGGGTGGGGGATATGCTACCCTTTTGCTTTTGAAATTTAGACTATTAGAAGTTTGTGTAGCCATATTAAGGCCCATTTCTAAAAGTTGATGCCAGTACCTGCCTATTGTTTATAGTTCTTTTGATGAGGTTGTTACTTTCTCAGCTCAAACTGTTAAATGTTAGACTTAAGGCAGTTTTTTCTTCATTGATCGGTTGATGACTTTTTGTGATCCTTAAAAATCTTTTATAGGGTATCATTAGTTTTTTTTTGTTTTTTTGGTTGCTCTGGAAGAGAAGGAGGGAGGGGGGGTGGGGGTTGCTACATCAAAGGTCTCAGATCTAACTTATCGTAGAAGTGTAAAACTTACGATAGTGTGCTCATGTACAATAAGGAGTTTTGAGGTTTCAAGTCTTAAAGGATATATGGTATTAGGTCTTTTACCGTTTTCTGATGATTGCTTTGCTAAAATCTGCAAAGCATTTTAGAGAACCAAGTTCTTATTTTTCAGAAGGGGAAACGTAAACGGTTTAAATTGGTAAATCTATTTAGGTATGACATCCTTTCTTTAGGAGAACAGTCTTTTCTTTTGTCATGTATTTTTCCTAAAAAACATCTCAGTAGTTTCTGGTGTGAAACATCTCCTCCTGGTAATCATTAAATGGAACTCCTTATTCTAACTTCAGGCAGGAGTTAAACTTGGTTGGATATACTATAAAGTTAGTCTGCTGTCTGTCTTGCCTGTATTGTTTGAGATATTGTTTTCTTTCTTATTGTCATCATTTTTTGTTAATGATTTTCTATAATCCTGTATTGTCTTGACATGCAATATTTCCATATTTCAGGTACTATTGTTATGAAATCATTTAGTTGAAGGTTTCTTTTGTCTCCATTAAATGTTTTATGGTAAACTAAGTTCTAGCTGAGTATACATTTAAAGTGCATCCCAGATGCAGAGTGGATCTGAATATTCCCTTTAAGATAATGGATTCTAGCATCAGCACCAGTGACACCATTTTAGAGCCACATTCAGATTTGGAATTTGAATCACATGAAGCTGCTTATACATATTACAAAGAGTATGCCAAGTCTGTGGGCTTTGGCACTGCTAAATTGAGCAGTCGTCGGTCCAGGGTGTCCAAGGAATTTATTGATGCTAAATTTACATGCATAAGATATGGAAATAAGCAACAGTCGGATGATGCTATTAATCCTCGGCCTTCTCCAAAAATTGGTTGTAAAGCAAGCATGCATGTGAAGAGAAGGCAGGATGGCAAGTGGTATGTTTATAGTTTCATAAAGGACCATAATCACGAACTTTTGCCAGCCCAAGCACATTTTTTTCGAAGCCACAGGAATGTTGACCCACTTAAGAATGATGTTGGAAGGAGGCGGAAGAATCTTGCTGCAGTTTCTAAACTATTTGGTGCCTACCAAAATATTGAATTTTTGGAAGGTTATATGAGAAATCAGCATGACAAGGGCCGAAGTTTGGTTTTAGAAGAGGGAGATGCTCAAGTACTTCTTGAACTTTTTATGAATATGCAGGAAGAAAACCCAAAATTTTTCTATGCTGTTGATTTGAATGAAGAGCATCGGCTGAGAAACGTATTTTGGGTTGATGCCAAAGGCATGGAAGATTTCACTAACTTTGGTGATGTTGTGTCCTTTGACACTACATATTTCACAAACAAATATAAAATACCTTTGGTACTCTTTATTGGAGTTAACCATCATATTCAACCCACATTGCTTGGTTGTGCATTAATTGCAGATGAAACAGTTTATACTTTTCTTTGGCTGATGCAAACATGGTTTATAGCAATGGGGGAACGAGCTCCACGAGTGATGCTCACGGATCAAAACAATGCCATAAAAGCAGCTGTGGCAGCTGTGTTTCGTAATACACGTCATTGTTTCTGTTTATGGCATGTGTTGGAAAAACTTCCCCGGCATCTTGAATATCTAAGCCTGTGGCATGAGAGTCTAATGCTAAAATTTGATAAATGTATTTATAGGTCTTGGACTGAGGAGCAATTTGAAAAAAGGTGGTGGAAGATGGTTGAAAAATTCCATCTTAGAGAGATGCAGTGGGTTCAGTCTTTGTATGAAGATCGCAGGCAGTGGGTACCTGCCTTTATGAGAGATATATCTTTTGCTGGATTGTCTACTGCTTTACGCTCAGACAGTTTGAGTTCTTCATTCGACAGATATGTGCACGGGGAAACATCATTGAGGGCCTTTTTAGAACAGTATAGAGTAATTCTTGAGGACAGGTATGAAGAGGAAGCCAAAGCTGATTTTAATGCATGGCATGAGACTCCTGAGTTGAAGTCCCCATCACCTTTTGAAAAACAAATGTCAATTGTATACACACATGAAGTTTTCAAGAAATTTCAAGATGAGGTTTTGGGAGCTGCTGCTTGTCATCTTAAGAAAGAAAATGAAGATCAGGTGTCCATGACATATAGTGTTAAGGACTTTGAAGATAATCAAAATTATATGGTGGAATGGAATGAATCAAAATCAGATATATATTGCTCATGCCGCTCTTTTGAATATAAAGGCTACCTTTGCAGACATGCTATTGTCGTGCTCCAGATGTCTGGTATTTTCAGCATCCCATCTAAGTATATTTTGCAACGGTGGACTAATGCTGCCTTGAGCAGGCGTCCAATCAGTCAGAAATTGGATGAGGTCCAATCTAAGGTCCGTCGGTACAGTGATTTGTGTAGACGTGCCATAATATTAAGTGAAGAAGGCTCACTTTCTCAAGAAAGCTATAATCTGGCACTAGCTGCTATAAAAGGAGCTAGGAAGCAATGTGCAAGTGTCAATAATTCAGTTGAGAATGATGCCAGACCTAACACCTCAGTGATTTATGCTGTTTCTGGTGTTGAAGGACAAAATCAATGTGTTAATGCTCCCGAAGAAAAAGCTCCAGACCCTAGAATGGCAAATACAATCAAGACTTCCCGAAGTGTTGAGGCTGTATTGGAGAGGCCAATTAATGAGAATAATCCAAGTAGAAATGGAAAGGTCAGTGAGCAGTCTCTTGATATGTATGATTTCATATTAGAACATTTTGATTTATAAAGGGGAGGAAAAGTAAGAAAAAGAAAAATCACTAAAACTTGCTTCTGTAAACAGCAGGTATCTCTTGTGGGAGCTGCGAATGTTGGGTCACAAGATGGTTTTCACCAAATGGTTTGTTCTACTTTCATCTCTCTCTCTCTTTCAGTAGGAATAATGTGGTTTATTTTCTTATATTCCAATGTAATGTAACGCTATTATGTGACACAGAAAATTCAAAGTTGAATTTATTTGACGTTTTCTTGAAAGTATTTTAATGCACTTATTTCTAATGATTTTGATGCCTTAGAAGAATGTGATGGCTGAACCATAGTGTATGCACCTAATTGTGTTTAATTGTGTGCGTAACATGCTAATATGAGATTGGATCAGAATTTGGATCTGATAATTAAAGTGACTTTAGTCCTGAACTTTCATCTAGCATGCTAATATGAAGATTGGATCAATTTTGAGCAACCCAACTTAATTTATGTTAATGTACATGTTCTTTTCAGTTGATTTGCAAAGACAGAGTGCATGAATGTGCAGTGAGTTTATCTAGCAGCAGTATATGATAAGAGCACTTGATTGTACCAATCAAAATCATCATCATCATCATCTATGCTTTACTCAAGTTTAAGTTTTCCAAATGAGTGTCAATCAATATGTGTTTGCCAGAAATATACTTATCATTACTGGTATGCAGTTTTTGATTGATTAATTATTATATTTGGATAATGGTATGCAGTCTTTGAACCTTAATATCTTTGTATGCTTGTTGCAGGAGCTGTCAGACATCAGGCCAACATCAATGCATAATGTGATGCCAACACAGCTACATAATATGGTGCCAACTATGTTAACAAATGTTGCATCAACGCATTTTCATAATGTGGCTGCTACACATTTGCATGACAATCGACTCCAGCGATAAGTTATATTTTGTCTTCATTTTGTAAAGATCATGTAAAGAAAAGCTACTTTAGGGTTGCAGGAAGAGCAATTTTATCATTTTGTAATTGCCTTGACTTCACTATGAGGTATGATACAGCTGACTAAAGTTTCTTGTTGCTGCCTCTAATGAGCCTTTTACACATGTATGTTAGCTTGCTAATTGGATTTCTTCCTATTCCATGTCTCATATATTAACATAGTTTGTGATGGACCAGTGTTGTGTTTTGTCAATTTGCATACTGATTTTTGGCAAGAGAAGCAACTTATTTTGTTTTGGAGAATTGCCTGCCAGAGTGCTGCATTGTTTTATTTGCATTTGCATGGCACTGTACTTACCGGTAAATGAGATAGATTGTCACAGTGTGCTTGTGACCCTCAAACATTGAGCAACCAACCCGTTGTTTTGGGTGTGGTTTCACCTGGGCATTTTAGGGAAAAGAAAAAGTTTTTAACTTAGTTTACTATTTCTAGTGTATCACTATGAGAGTATTAAATATTCCAAATATATGTTGTTGAATAAAACGAAGTAAGGTTTTTCTCATATGATTTGTGTATCTCGGTGAATCAAACTGTATAAATCACTACATTTTATAATATTTCAAGAACCTAGTAGCAAAATCACTAGATTTTTGAGTAAATTTTATTTTACGTGTTTGGTCCTACCAAATGAGCTAAATTGAGTTTTACCAACACTCAAGTCCAAATCAATTTAGTATGGTGTAAAAGCATGTGCATGATTGCAGTGGGGGGCGCTGGCTGCTATGTGTTGATATTAATGCGTGTAGCTTCAAAATCCAGGCTGTTTCATATTCTCTGTTTAATTATTGATAAGGAAATCGTCCACTTGCAGCAAAGAAAAAGGTTGGCAAACAGCCATATCATTTTCGTATTTTCTGATGTATTAAGTAAAATTGCATGGTATGAGCTATGTTTGGGTTTTGGGGTTGTTTTGTTTTGCTTGAACTAATCTATTACATAAACTGAAGCTCTTGTTTCATGCTTGTATTCTCCCTTTGGCAACTTTCCTGGGAAAGATGAGTTGCTGTGTATCTGCATTTGATCGATTTCAAGAGAGGAGAGAATATACTATGAATGGCGAGAGTCATGGATGGACAACTGGTTTGACAATGACATCCGTGTTTATCTATATATTTCATTTCAATGATAATAAAACAGGTTGATACTGTTGGCAAAAGAAGTACCGATGCCATCTTAAGATATGCGTTTAACCATCCGCGTGGCCATAAATTGTAGAGATATGACATTTTGACTTTACTGTATTGGCATTTCCTGAACCTCATTGGGATTAGCTATCGAAAAGAAACCAAGCTCCCTCTTCTTGTATAAAAAATAAAAATGGGTGAGAGACATCCCATACCTGAAAGAATATGAGGAACAAAAAAGGGAGAGGCACGTCATTATCAAGTTTCAAGGGGAGAGATGAGCTAGTAAGGGCTGAAGAAGGAGAGGCATGCAGAAAATCAGGCGATGTCTCTCTCTCTCCTTGTTCGGAGGCATGTCTTGCGCACTGCACATGGCTTCATCCCAACCATCTTGACCGACATAGAATTTGGAGTGTGTTGTTAGTCAACTCCAGAGTCACTGTTATTAACTCCCCCGGATACGACCTGCCCCAATAAGACACGCTCAACTCTCACAATAATTATTAACCAACTCTTTACTATTTTGTTATCCTTCTAACTCATCCAGGTATTGGAAATGGAACCTTGCATACATTGTATATGCCCACTAATTGATTCTCCTTTTGTTCTGTTTATTTTCTGAAATCTAAGATGCAAATAGGTTGTTTTAACCCTACCCTCCAATTAGGGATAAAATGTCATTTTATGGTAAAATACCATATCAAGATAGTGTACTAGTAAGATTACGTTTCTTAAGTCAAGAGGGACAAGCTTATCAATTAAACCATCTGTAACATTTATTGCTACAGTGGGTTTTGTTGGAATATAGTTTAAGCAAACACATTTGTTCTTTGATTCTTGAAGAATCTTAACAATAGCCTTATATGAGACATGCACAACTATTTATTTACTTTTGAGTCGGTTCTGACTCAAATTTGTCAAACTTTGAGTGTGTGTATTTTTCTGGGTAATTAAAAATTTAATGGACTGTATTTCATTGACAAGAAGAAAGTACGGAGGTAGATTGGGACTTGTTTTATACCAAATCTGAAAAGCTCTTGATTAGCTTCTTGTTTTGGATTGTAAGAAGGTAGAAGCGAGTACAGCTGCACATGTACCACATGCTGAATGCCAATCATGCAACAACAACAAAGGCAAGCATGATTGATGCTAAACTTTTTTGTTAAAACCTTGGTTTTTCGATACAAATTCATTCATTAAACCTTTGTTTGCCAGCCACTCGTCCACCGTCGGCATCTTGTTCAAAATCTGAGAGAAGCCTAATCAAATTTACAATTATTTTATAGTTTCTCTTCATATTATATATATATATATATATATATATATATGCATGCAATCCAATTATCTAATATCATTGTGGATCCTGTACATTTGAGACATTTGAGGTTATAAAAAGTGTAATGACACAAAAAGTATCGGATCAAAAAAAAAAAATTACTGAGATCTTTTACAACTTAATTGTCTATTTTTTCGCTATAAATATACAGTTATAAAAATTATTGTTTATTATTTTCCATACCACTCAAGAGTAATATTAGTAAAAAACTTTTACCCTAAATTTTAATTCAACTAAGATAAGATTTTTGTACTTTAACCCTATAAAAAGTCATATGCAGTTAAAGAATATTATTGAGAGTCTTTTTGACCTAATTTTTTTTTAACTTAAAAACTATTATAAAGCTCTTATGAAAAATAATAACTTTTAAAATTAAACTAAAATTGTTTGGTAATTTTAGTTTCATAAACTATTTTTTATAAATAAATTATTTGATAAAACAACTTATAAAAATTCTAGTTTTGATTAAAATTACCATAAGATGTATTTAATAAATAACTTTCTATTAATCACGGATTCATTTGTTCATAAATTCTTTGTTTTTCCTAATAATTTTTACAGAAAGAGGTAAAGGAAAGGAAAATCGTGATTTGCAGAGAGAGAGATAGAGAGAAAGAGAGAGAGAGAGAGAGAGGAGAGATCAATTGAAAGAAATGAGATATATTTCTAAAAGGTAATATTGGGATTATTTAATAAATTAGGACATTTTTTTAAAAAAAATTCTCTTATAAAACCGACATGTTTTTAAAAGAAGATAAGAAAAAACTCTTTTCTATAACTTTTCCTAAAACTTTTTTTTTCTTGTAGATTTTATTCTTTTAAAAAAATTATTTTTTAAAAAGTTTTTTAAAATTTTGTTTGGTCTGGATTTTTACTTTTAAGAGACTAGATAAGTTGAAAAAACCCGAGCTTAAGTCAAGAGTGAGTTTAATGAGCACCTCAATCTAAAAACAAAGATATTTGGACATAAGTGGAACAAAGATTGTGAGTTTGTGATTAAACTTGTAATCTTTTGATTTTTTTTAGTGATTATGTTTGTAAATATAGACAATTAAAAGATTGAATCACCTAAATTTTTGTATTTTTATCTTTCTTTACTTTATTGATTGTGTAAGATTTAAGGTAATTTTTTTAAAAAAATTCTTTAGTTATTTACACAACAATTAATTACTCTCTTTATTTTAATATATTTATTTTTGGTTAACTAAGTTTAACTCCTTTGTTTTCTTTGGTAATTTTATTATTCATCTGACCTTTTTTGAGGATGAATATAGGAAGTCATTTATGGAAGCATATTAATTTTCCTGTCAATTGAAGAGTTTTTTTTTTTTTTTGGAAAAGGTATTTGATAGCTGTCAGATATGCTGCAAGATCTTAGGAGAAAGCAAAAAGAAATAATATATATTGAGATTTGTGGAGTCATTTCATGTTTTGAAGGAGGAGGATAAGGGTTGTTGTAGCCTAAACCCTAAATCAATAAAATACTAAAGAAATAGTCAAAAATAGAAAATATTTAATGTTCAATATCTAAAAATTAATTGAATCGACTGAGGTCTTTTAACTCATTAATTAGTGTGTGTATTTTCTAAAAATTGAATCTGATTTTTTATTTTTTATAATTTTAAAAAAAAACTTAAACAAGAACCCTTTAAATTAGTAAAAAGATCTAAAATGATTTTGGCATTTGCTCTAAAAAAGAAAAATTAAAGGTCATGTCCCATCAAAGCAATCAGTTGGGGGGTGATGAATCACTTTTCTTCTGGATATGCTTTGGGCACATTGAGATCTATACTTGTCGCTTGATACCCACATAACATGAACAGCTCATGGCTTGTCTTCGCTTGATCTCCTCCCATGATATCACTGCCCCACATTTATGTCCTCGATTTAAGTGGGGCCTGAGGGGATGATACGGTGGTTCAACGGTCCAGATCATTTCCAAGGAGGACAATTTCGTATCATGTAGACTGTATTTTCTTCATCAGTTCCCATTAAATAAAGAAATAGACTAGTTCCCGAAATGACCAAGCATTGATTCCTTTCAAGCAGACAGAGATTCAAGTACTCGTGGGGCAATCCGCTGAGACGTTGACGTCCACAGGGTAGTAAGATGGTCCTATAGCTTACCCACGAATACCGTGCGGCTCAATTATTTTGCCCAAATTTATTCATGAAAATAGTTAGTTTAGCTATCAACATTGTCAAAAACTGTGTATTTGTAGCCCAAATCCTTATGCAAGATAAGGACAAACCAACTCAATACATTACTCTTAACAACATAATTATCATATGTTGGGTTTTATGTTGATTCTTGAACTCATTTAATGTTTTTTTTTCTTTATTTTTGGGGTCAATACTAATTTTTGTGTTTCTCAAAAGTTGGTATAAAAGATTCATTTTTGGATCTGGTTTTTTTTTCTTTTTCTGAAAAATGTTTTTAAGATTTGGTTGTGGTGTTATCATTGAGAAAGCAGTAAATACATGAAATCCCTAGGTGAGTGACTCGAGATAAAAGATCGATTGTAAATGGGTTTGAGGTGAGCTTGATCATTGTTATCTTGGATATTTGATAGCAAATTTCATTTTTCCTGTGCTTGTGGATATAAAAAAATTTGTTTCCAATTAATCACGTCTATTGTTGGTGTTTTCTCTTTATGTTTATTTTCTTTATATTTG